GATTCAAGTAAACAGTAACGGTAGGTCATATTTGTAAATATACATATAGAGTTGACCGAACAATGTCTTATTATTGATTCAAGTAAAGTATTTCGATGGACAAAACAATTTTTAGAGCGGATCAATATGATGGCTTGGGGATATATATATGCAGATCTGCATGGCTGGATATTGCTATATGCATTAATTTCGCACTTGATTCTGATTTTATTATGTATAGAAGATTCAGAATGCTTATCTCAAAGTAGTCATGTCAACAAAAAACTTAAAATTAATAACAAATAAAAGCAATTTCGTGAAAATTATGATTGAAATCAAATAACTATAATAACAATTCACTGATTTAAATGACAAAATTTATGCTACTATCACACCGCTAGCACTAATATCTTTACTCTCACGGGATTGAATTAAAAATCTTAAATATTTAAAAGATTTAATTCCAATATATTAAGAGAAACTAGCAAATTGAGTATATTTTGTTAGTAACAATAATACTATAGTTTTTCTTTTATTCTAGTGGTAGATTTATTAAACGTTTTCTAGTTTACTTTCTGTCTGAATAATAAAATTGTTTAGACTTTAAAACAATTTTAGTTCAATAATTTATCACAATTTGTGAAAATTTTTCAAAAATTATAGTGATGAAAATTTTTTTAATACTCGTTCTGTGCATATTTTGGTACAATTATTTTCAAACGATCTGTGAGCAATTACAACAATTTTGAATAAATTAAAAAGTATCTTCAGCTGTTTGTATCGAATTTCTATTTCAAGTAGTTATTATGGATTATCATTATTGATATTGTTCGAGAAACTTTGAAATAATTCAATTATGCAGATAAAGTCATTGTTTAAAACTAAAGTTTTAATCTAAGAAAAAACTAAAAAAGATTGTGTTTGTAGTCATAATTTCAAAGCTCATCTTTTATAACTTTCAAAACAAACCAACTTATTGTCATTCAATGAGTTTTCATCATTTTAATGAGCTAGCAGTTGTAAATTTATAATCTAAAATGAGTAAAAATAGTGTAATTCTTTGAAAAATATATCTACTATTCCTTTTGACCTAAATTGAACTTTTGAGAATGCTTAAAGTACCATAAAGCATTTTTGTCATGTATGTGCATAGAAAATTACATGCACGTTTGGGATAGAATAATTATAAAAAAGCAAATTGCGCACAAACCAAACAGATACATATTTAAAGCACGTGCAACATTAGTCTTGCGTGAATTAATTAACAGAATTGAGATATAAGATAATATACATGATTTCCTGGATAGCAGAAATTGTAAATATAAAAATCACTAAAAGTCCTCAGCATCTTCAAACAGCATATTTTAATCTTCTTCAAAAATCTTCTCTTCCGATATTTGCAAAAACTGATGACCTCGAGAATTTGAAGAAATCTGTAATGCCAATCAGGTTGTTTTAGCTATACAGTAAGGTAAATTTATTGCTATATGAATTTTATGAAATTTTAACCATGATGTATGATATGATCGTGTAGAGTTTGTTTTCTTCTCTATCATTTGAACATAGTGGAAAACCACATACATGCGGAACTAGGCACATTTATAGAGCAGTACACACATGTAGAACTGAGTTCACATGAAGGACAATACTCATATGCGGGACTAGGCACACATAAGGGACAACACACATTCCGGATCAGGCAGACATAGAAGATAATTGTTAATCATTTTATTATTAATTGATTAATACGAGTGTACGTGCAGCCTCTCATGCGTGTTATTTATTATGAGTTTCAGTGCCATAGAAAATTAAAATCGCAGTCTTTTGATTGCATGGCAAGTATTCCACATTTCGATAGTCTCGCATATCTTTAAAACAGTATTAAACATGAACCTTTAGTTTATTGAAATTAAATATTGATAATCTTAATAATCAGATTTTGAAGCAGTTTATTTATTTTCAATTAGTTTGAGTACAGTTATTATCTGCTTCGTTCAACAGAAATTTGGTGTTTAATGGCTTTCAAGCGGTTGCTAATTCAAATATTGAGAGCTAGTTTAAATTTAAAAATAATTTAAATTAAAAAGTGCAAACTGTTCTTTTTGAAATGAATATGGATGAAGTTTTCAATGTTCTCATATTCCCTACAGTATACAGCTAAGCACATACTTGTAAGCTTGCAGCTTACAACTACTTTCTGACCGTATATCTCTGCTAAATTTGGTTTCATCGAACTCCAAGAATGGAACAACATAAACACTTTCGCTTAAAGACATTGTCCAATTCTGAAGAGCCTCCTCAACACAAAAAAATAGTCATCATAAATCAAAGCTTTTGAAAGCATCCCTATTTGGAATAATTGAATGCATATGAGTTATTTATTTGGTTTAGTGTGCTCGAAAGCAAATGTTTTCGTGAATTGCCACTGCAAACTTTTGCGATACAATCAAAAGTGGTTGAAACGGATTGAAAATGTTTAGTCAATGTTTGATATAACAACACGTGAAATGAATATATGTTTGATCGTTTACTTCATATTTCGGCTTTGAAAATTGTTACGTTTTTTTCAATATACTCGCAACAAAATTTGCATAATCGATTTCAAACCTTTGGCCTTATGTGAGTTTTTCGATCAAAATTCAATCCCCGTCAATTTGGTATAAAATGGCAAATTAAATGCAAACAAATTTATGTCATCTTTAGCGTCAATTTTGTCTACTTCCACTCACTTTATGTAGGCAGTAGTACTTTTCATCGGACTATAAAGTCACTTAATCGTGAAACCTATTACTCAAATATGATGGATATAATTCTTCTTACTTTCCTCAAATAGAAGCCATCTTCCAAGTAAGTGTAATAGATCGTGAAAACTTCACAACAAGCCAAATTGTTCGTTGATATTTTCTGAATAAACATAGTGTTCTTTCCTCTTTATGGATCCAGAAATCTTGCAATAATGCCATCGAGAATCACCATAGTTCCAATCTCAGCCAAACTAACAATTTAACACTGAGCACAAAACTTTGAACTTTGTAAGACCAGTAGTAGTAATACTCAAATATCTAACAATTTATTATGTGTCGATAGAATTGAAGGCAGATAAAGCACTAAAGCATGGCAAATCGTAAGTTGTTTTGCCAGAACATCGTTTCCGAAAAATTTGGAAAGTTCTGCAAGTAAGCAAAATATTGTTTCCAAATAGTGTAATAAGTTGATTTCAGATGTATCAAAACATGTGTCGTGGCATCATCATAGTTGCTTTTATTTCCTACATATCATTAAAATTGCAACTCGCAGAATCTACTGTAAGTCAGCAATCCATACCATTTTCTAATTCAATATTGTAATGAAATGCCATATCTTGGAAAACGTCTCTTTAATATGCATTCAACTTCTCGTTAGCACTCAGAGTCGATAATGACATACAATCTATTCATTGTAATGAATCATCACATACCGCTGGGAAGCAGCTACTAAAAGGTAGAAATTCAACATGTACATCATAAAGGCGAGCAGTGCCCACGCGAAAGGTCGTTGCAGTGATTCCTAGAAAAAACCAAGTAAGTTGAATTTCAACTGCAACGTAAGAGCACATCCTAGGGAAAAGCAATTTCAGTGCGGAACTTCAATGAAGAATCACACTACGAACCGTACGTCCAGCCAACTCATGCACACACATATCGCTGAAAAGATATACATCTGCAATTTGTGCAACGAAGGATTCACACGTGTTAACTATTTGAATACGCATAAGCGTATACATATCGGGGAAAAACCGTGCATATGTTATGTATGCGAAAAAGGATTTAGGACGTCTGGTGATTTGAATGTCCACAAGCGCACACATACGGGAGAAAAACCGTACATATGTGATGTGTGCAAAAAAGGATTCCGGACGTATTATGCTTTGAATGTACATAAGCGCACACATACGGGTGAAAAACCTTACGAATGCGATGTGTGCAATAAAGGATTCACGTCTTCTAATGATTTGAATGTCCACAAGCGCACACATACGGGTGAAAAACCATACATATGTGATCTGTGCAAAAAAGGATTTGCGTTTTCTAGTAATTTGAATAAACACAAACGCATACATACTGATATAAAAGCATACATGTGCAGCAATTGTGCAAAAAACTTCACACAGACTGCACACTTGAAGAAACATAATTGTGCACGTATCGGATAAAAACCACTTGAATAAAATAAAGTAAAAATTGATTGAGGCGTCTGAACATCTGAACAAACGCAAGCACAGCGAATCGAAATTATATTCGCGCGCTTGCAGTCTGCGTTGATTCTTCGATCAATAAGGAAAAAATTCATTCAATCTTTCTGTTAGTGCGATTTTTGTTAGGATTTCAAGTGCTTATATAGGTTCTGTTTTGTTTTTGCTTAAAATATTTTCTTGTAAATTGACTATAATGTTTACATCAAGATACGTGAAGTTCTTTGTGTATGTGGTAATGCGAATCAACTTTGAACGTGAATTTATTCTAGTAGTTTTTTGCGACGATTTGTTTCTGGATCTTAAATATTATTTTATTTGTTATTATTGTTAGTTTCATTAGTTATTATTGTCCTTTATCGGCACTTAGGATGCAGAAATAAACATTGTCTCAGTAAAATAAGACATCTCATAAACAATTTTGAGATTCAGAAAGTGCAACTTGAATCGTTGGCGATTTGTTTGCATTTAACAATTGGAGAAAAGTATCACAATAATTAGGCAACAATCCTTATTTTATGTCTTTAAAATTCACAGAACATACAATTAATGCAAAAACTTCCTCAGCACTTTGCGATTAATCATTTAATTCTGAACCATTCGAAGTGCGAATTCGTTGTTCTGGTCGCTGTGTTGTGCTCAAATGCTAAAATTTTGACTTGCACGATCACAATTTTCTTTTGAAATTCGCAAATTAAAGTTAGAACCACTGATGAAATGAAATTTGAATCAGAAAAGAAATCTTGCAGTCAAAATTATGAAGATTCGCATTACCACATACACAAAGAACATCACGTAATTAGCGGCTTTTAACAGCAGCTAATTCTTCAACAATAGAATTGTTGAAGAATTAGCTGCTGTTAAAAGCCAAATCATTGTGATGTGA